TCTCCTGTGACGACAATAGGTATGGATGGTAGTGGGGAGCTTCTTATGCCCTGTAATGCATGTTTTTGACATAAGGTAGGGTCAGCACTACATAGTGCAAGGAAAATGAGTAAAGATTAAATCCATATGCAATGGACAAAAAGTTTCTTGAGTGTAATACATAGATAGCAAAATATCTTAAACATTTGGAAACATGCATCTGGAATTTAATGCCCATAGTGTGAAATACTCCTTCCAGTTGTGTTACAGAATTATCACTTTAAGTTAAATCAGTTACAAAACTGCTTTGGTACTGGTTTCTAAGTAGCTTACATAATTCTTTTGCCAGTAGTATTGTTTTGAATGGGAAGATATAAGCTTTGATATTTCTGAACTTCTGTTTCATTATTTCCTTTTTTTGTTATGAAAGATGATGTGAATTGCTGACCTAWTTTGAGACTATAGATAGCCTTTTTTCTTTTTTTTTTTTTTTTTTAACTACTAGTTAGATTAAATGTCTGTAATGGCAAACTCCTGTTCTTCTGTTTTGTATTTGAAATTGCCAAGAAGAGTGGTTTGGTTTGGTTTCTTTTCATTATGTAATGCTGTGTACAGAAGATGAAGGTTGCATTCTTCATAGAAAACTCTTATGGCATTATTAATATATCACTAATAAATACTGTGACATACCCACTTGCCCAGTCCCCTATTTTGGAGTGAAATGAATTGTGACAGACATCCAGATACTTGCAGAAAGCACATTTTGGAAATCTGCAATGTGGAAATTTGCAATTGAGAAGATATAATTTTCAATTTCATTGTATTGCTTGTATTGCTTGTGACTTCAAGCTAAGTAAGCTTAATTTTGAAATATTTTCAAATAAACAAACTGTGTTCCTTTTGTGTGGCAGAGAACGGAGACCAACCTGGGCTGAAGAGAGAAGATTAAATGCAGAGACCTTTGGAATTCCACTGCGTCCTAATCGTGGCCGTGGAGGCTTCCGAGGCAGAGGGGGCATCGGCTTCCGAGGAGGAAGAGGGCGAGGAGGTGGAAGAGGTGGCTTCACTGCCCCCCGAGGATTTCGTGGTGGATTCAGAGGAGGTCGAGGAGGCAGGGAGTTTGCTGACTTTGAATATAGGGTAAAATATATTTAATCATTGTTATGCAAATRGTGATTATTTTTAAACAGATCACCATTGAAGTGTGTGACTTGAGCCACTGCCTTTGGAAACTAGTGGTAAAACTTTTAGATCTGGTGTTGAACTACTGAGAGTAAGAATTCCTTTAGTAGTATTTTGCACATACTATGGACTATTTTTGCAGATACTATGCAATTGAAGGGCCACTCGCTAATATTTTGATTAGCAACATCTCACAACCAGCTCAAGCTGCAAGTTACCTTTATTTAGATGCCTATAATATTTGCTTAGCTCAATTAAAAAAAAAAAAAAAAGAAAAGAAAAGAAAAAAAAAAAAGAAAAAGTCCACAAGTAAAATAAAAATGATAGAAATGTGAGTTGGGAACATTTTTCTAAGCAGTAATCTGCAATGCAAAGGCCAAGAGGGGGAAATAGAACATGCTTGTAAGATTCGGGGAATTTTTTTGTGCAAATAATTTGGCACAAAGTGAGCTAGCCTGTATATTTGTCAGTTCCCATGTAACCCCTAAAAATAGCATAACAGCAGTTACTGGTACACAGAGATGAACTCTTGCAAAAAGGTAGGTCAAAAAAATATTTAGGAGTTGCCCAAGTTCCTCTTAAACACATTTTTTTTAAGATACAGCCTACATATAAATCATAAATAATCAGATAAAAGGCTTAGTTTCAGCCAATCCAACTAACTGAAATAATCTCATGTCAAAGCTTTTAATCATCAGATAGGCATGAATGTAAATCAGCAGCACTCCATTATTTGCCAAAGCTAAAATCTTGTAGTTTCAGGGTAGGCCATTTTATTTGGCACTAAACTGTATCATCATCCCAAACGTGAGGCTCTTAAGGAGCAGATATAATCCTGGTGCACTGATTTCAGAATCAGTAACATGAGTCAATTTATGTAATTATATTTGTAACTACAGGCTTTTACAATTTTGACCCCGAAGTAAAATCTTCAGGTAGTGTACTGTGTGAGCAGTTAACTGACTTGCACAGTGGAAGTTTTGTTTCCTGGTTGAGGATGAAATTGCTCAACTATAAAAAGGGTTTTTCATCACAGCAGATTTCCCACTGCTCTGCAGTCACACAGTCATTTATTGGTAAGAATTAATTCTATAACTAAGAATTTTTTTTGGACAGCTTAGCATGCTTCAACAAGTGTTAGCACTGACTTGAAATTAAGGAGTTGAAGATCTGAGGTGTTTGTTTATGTATGAAAGCAACTCATTGTCCTCCAGATAATAGGAGTATTTGTGCCATGCTGGTCAAAATGCCTCGCTCTTTCTGTGTGTGCCCAACTGATARTATTTTGTCCAGAAGCTAACCTGACCATGAGACGCATTCTTTCTCCTGGTTTTAGTAGATGAGAATTACCCTTCACGATGCATCTTTTCCCAGTGCTGTTATCCAAATTAATTTTATTTTTGTGTTTTGCAAAATGAATAGTAACCTTTTGCTGTTGTTCTCTTTAGAAAGACAACAAAGTTGCTGCATAGTCTGCAAGAAGCCTGAAACCGGGTGAACGCCTAGATCTTCTTGATCCAGAGAATTAGTTTCAGTCTCTGCAAAGAATGAAGTTAATTTGCTGTATACTTGTCACCAGCACTGGGATTTAACTATTTAATTTCAAAGGGGTGTAATGCAGTTASTTTTTGAAAAATGGCCATCTTTGAAAACAGTGAGCGTTGAATATATTTGAGACAGAAGGATAAGTAATTTCTTATGTATAGTTAATTATAAAGCAGTACTTCGATGGAGTTTAAGTATTTTTTCATCACTGAAAGGATTTTTCTTATTACTAAATTGTATTTGATAATTGCTTCAAGTTGTAAGGATAATTGTATGCAGAAGGCCGTCGATACTGTGAGTGCTTTGATCCACTGAAGGTTGTTTTTTGGAAATCCTGTAATATCCCTTTTGAGATAGTTGTACTTTATCAACTAGGGTGCTGGACAGTAGAAAACTTGCTTTGTCAGTGAAATATGTACACACAGTAAATACTGTTTCTTAGGCAAAGGAAACTTTTTATATAGTTGTAAAATTCCATTATATCCCATTGCCAAAGAAACATTACAAACTTTGTATAGCTGTATAAAAAGCAACTAATTTTTTAAAGAATAAACATTTTTAAGTCGGCAAACATACTGTGTTATTGCAAAAGTTGATATGCTGAAGAACACTGAATTAGTTGTTTTTCTTTTTTTTTTTTCTTTTTTTTTCTTTTTCCTTTAGCAGCTTTTCAGGCTTAAATGTTTGATTTTATATTTGGACTGTAATGAAGATTTGAAAATGTTCTTCCATTATACAAAACTGGATACACTCTTCACTTCTCTTGCAAGAAATTGATTTTGTAGTTTCTGGCATATCACAGGATTTGACCAAATTAAGGAGATATTTTCGCATAAGGGCAAAATAACAATTTTCATATGTCAAAATTTGCAATTTTACTTAGTGATAAATATTAACTTTTTTAATAAAGTGGACCAGGCACATTAGTTGAGATGATTCTCCTGGGATGCCTGGGACAAAAGTATGTCTCCATTTGTCACTTCTTGAAATGTTAACTTTGTTGTAATATCTGTAGACATAAGCAATTTAAAAAGAATTCTTAGTGTTTGAAGTTGTTTGCATTTTGATAGACCATAGCTTGGAGACATTAAAACTCTGGTTCTAAGACCGTGATTTCACAAGTGACATGGTATGGACTTTTTGGCCAATTCTGAATGACTAGTTATGGCTTTTTGATATGCTAAGTTACAGCTGAAATAGAAATCTGGTCATTTGTGTTTGTATATGTATATGAAGGCCGCAGGAATAAAGGGATCCAAAGATGAAAACATTTTGATCTAATTTGCTGATTTTTTTTTTTGTTAACTTTATCTTCAAAATGTTCAGTGGTGATAAAGATGTGGAAAACTGCACTGTTGGAAAATTGAAATATTTAAAAGTGGTTGATAGAATCTTAATTTTATAACTTTTTGTATAGCACTACAAGGAAGTATTTTGTAATTGGTTTCCTTATTAAGGTCAAGTATTTGGCAATTGTAGAAGTTAGATAATATTGTTTAGTAATGTTTTTTGCATGTTAACAACAATGCCTTTTGGGATCCACAAATCATGATTCTGAACAACTTTAGAGGTTTCTGAACATAAAGGCAAGTGCTGTACTGTTGCAATAACTATGTATACTGTATGAGGTGTCCCAGGCTTATTTAAACACGATGAATTGTAAATACCAATGATCCATGCTGTGAAGGTAGGGATTGACGTCTCTCCCCCAGTATTTGGGTTACCACTTGGGGTGCGCTGAACCCAGGAGTTAGCAGCATGGCCTACCTTCCATGTACCTTGCTCTGTGGAAGTGAGGGTTTTTTTTTTTTATTTTAAAGCAGAATAAACTGTTCAATAAAATCAGTCTGGTGAAGGTGATTGTGTGTGCGGGGCGGCTGTGGGCCTGGGGCAGGGCAGGGGCCGGGGGCCGGGCAGGAGAGGCAGAGGGGCCGGTGCGGCTGCCGCACGCGGGGCTGTGGGCGCTGCTGGGGCTGCCGCTCGCGCAGGGTCTTTACTCGCCGCCCTGAGGCGGGGGCAGTTGGAAGTAAGATCAGGGTCGAGGTGGGAGGGAAGGGAGAAAGGGGCCGAGTGCCCCCCGTCCCTCTGCTGCGGGGGGTGCGTGTTTAAAGGGGCGCGGGGGAAGCTCCTTGACTGAGGCCGGGCCTCGCTTTTTTCTCTCGCGTGTGGGCGCGGGCCCGAGCGCGGCCCGCGCTCCCGCTCCGCCCTGCCGGCCTCGCGGGGGCGCGCGGAGCGCGGCGCGGGGCGGGGCGCGGCGGGCGGCTCCCGGCGGCCCTTGCGCAGGCGGCGCCGCCATGTCGGTGGCGTTCGTGCCCGAGCGGCTGCGCGGCAAGGCCGAGGTGAACCAGGAGACGCTGGCAGGGCACACGGCGGGCGGCCGCAGGGCACACGGCGGGCGCTGACGGGCGCGCTCTGCCGCAGCTGCTGGAGGAGAACGACCAGCTCATCCGCTGCATCGTGGAGTACCAGAGCAAGGGCCGCGCCACCGACTGCGTGCAGTGAGTAGCGAGCGGGCGCGGGAGCCCCCCCGCCGGCAGCCCCGCGCCCCCCAGGACCTCCCGGGCGGCCTCACCGCGGCTCCCGGGCGGAGAGGGCCCCAAGCGCGGCGGGTTCAGTGGCGCCTGCCCTGGCGCCTCCTGTTCCGCCTGGATTTTGCTCTGCCTTAACGTGCCGGCCGGACCCCCAGGGGCTCCTTGGCAAGGGGAGCGGTGGCTGTAGCGCCTGGCCCAGGAGCTCGAGTGAAGGGMAGGGTCAGGCTGGTCAGTCAGGGCTCCACGGCAGCTCTGGCTGCTGAGCTGCTTTCCCCACGGTCTGTGGCTTTTCAGCCGCGAGCAYATCGAGAATGTCACTTTTTACTGGCACTGGCTAATTGTACTCCAGAAAGTTAGTGTGCAGTGATCTATAGCGACAGCAGAATACAGAGGGGTTCACCTCCCATTAATGGTGTTTGTTKGGTTGTTTGTCCCCCTGTCCTCATGCCACAAAAGTGATTATTAAGGTGCAGGCAGTTTACTGTCAAAGAACAGGCAACCAGGCACTTTCCAGGTAATGCATTTCTTCTTCTCCTAGGTACCAACACATCTTGCACAGAAACCTCATCTATTTAGCTACGATTGCTGATGCAGCTCCACCCAGCAGCCAGAAGACTGTAGACTGACAACCCCTGAGAACAGTGATGCTCTGAGACGCTGTAGCACTTAGAGCAGGAGCCTAACCTAAGAGCCAAGAAGGTGGCACCTTGAAAAGCAGGTAYCAGCACCCCTGCTTTTGCATTCACATGTGAGCATAGTTTCAGGCTAATACTATATTAGCACTTTTTTCCCCCTCCCAACCTTCTAAAGCAGTACTTAAGGGAGATGCTCATGATCATGCTGTAATTACCCCACACATTCTGCATAGCAGTCTCCTGAAAGCAGCCGGGTGTCAGGATCTACCCGCTCCRTGAAGCAGAGGCTCTGGTGCCCGCAGTGGTGCAGGAATGGGGTGAGGCTTCAGCAGCCACATACCCACCCTCTGCCTTCTGGAGCACACATCAGGGCAAGCTGGCCACACATGCATTGCCTGTTTAATAATCACTTTGTATCTGGTATCATAGAAATTGTTTAATAAATTAAAAATGTTCTCTGTAAATGSTGGTAGCCTCTGGCTTAACACATGTTAAAAAAGAAGCATCTCATGGGGCTGGAGAAAGAGGAAGGTTTGCTTTCCTAGGGAAAATGAATAGCTGTTACATAATTTACAGCTRTCAGAGTAAGGGGAAATTCAGGGGAAATTCCAGCCTTTGTTTCAGTAAGAGAAGGCCCGGTGTTTGCTCCACTTGTGTCAAGACTTCACCTTTTTGCTTGAAAAACTCTGTACTGTGTATCTTGTTAACAAGTAAATTCTCACATAATTAAAATGGATACATGCACTTTGTGGGTACTTGGCAGCAGCTGGATCATTCTTAGCCAGCAAGGCCCCACTTTAGCTGGCATTGCAGTTTGGCCAGTTCACTGACCTGAGTGGCGCGGCCCTCAGGTCATTTTTGTTCAAAAAAAAAAAAAAGTATTTTTTACTCCATGAAAATTACTTACTCTAGGCTTGTTAATACGCCAATTACCACTTGCAGTTACCATCTGCACTGCTCAAGACACTTGCTAAGGCATGTTCTGCATAGTGCTCTTCCTCACAATCTATGTGAGAGAGTCAAAGAGGCTACAAGATGCTGCTGCACATGCTGCACATCCTGCAATGCAAGAGGTCAGATTTAGAGGATAAGTCAGTAAGTAGGCAGTTGACGATTTTCAAACTGATAAATAATCCCATGTTAATGAAATAAGATCTTTGTTTACAAACCAAAGTTACAGTTTAAGGTGCTGCTCACTTTCAGCAAGGTGCGTATTTTAAACAGGTATGACCTATTAAATGTATATCTTTAATAAAGCAAATAGTTTACTTTTACAGAAGCTTTAAAATACAAAAATGTACAGTTCCAGTTTAGAAGCGTTAGCTATTCACAAGAAGCACTGCAATAAGGGTAAGTTAACTAAGCACCAAACCCTTGCACTTGGCAGTGTAAGTGAAATTTAATGGCAAGACTCATTTGCCAAGTGCAACAATTCTTAAAATTACCAGTGTTCAGAACAATCGGAAGCAAAGGACAGAGTAGCACCTACGTGGTCAAATTGCAGACAAACTTTCTTTGTTTCCGCAACTCACTTTTGTAGCTCCAGAAACTTGCCAGCATTTGTARTTGTGAATGAACGGCAAAAACTATAGCAATAATTTTGGCACTTGTTAGAAAAGTTCAAAAGTAAGTGTTTCATTAACTTTCATTTTGGTCTTAGTAGAGATAACCAGTAAGTACAACCAAATTTAGGGTTTAATATTAGATCTAAATGACAAGATTTAGGAAACTCAAAACCATTCATCAAGTTAAATAACCACTAACATTTTCAGCAGAGGGTTTCCAAATTATAGTAGTACAGACCATTAACAACTTACAGACAGAAGCCACACTGATTGTGCAAAGCACATTACTGTAAAAAGTCTATGTACAGCAAACAAATCTTTGTAAACATGGTAAGTATGAAGTTTCAGAAAACATGGTGACAATATCATAAATACAGGCAACATTGGCATCCTCAAACAGCACAAAAGGTAACAATCTGGGCCTGCAAATATAGCCCGTCACCATACAAACAAAAAAGGTGGTTGGGTGTTAAATACCCAAATGTTTAATAGTTTTAGTGTTGTGTATACCTTTTATTTATATATATATATATTTTATGTTTTTATTTTTTGGTATCTTTAGATATAGATGTACTTAGTTTGTAAAAACAAAAACAACCAATGTGCTTTATCTTCATTGAAAAATTATGCAGTTAGAACTAATAACCCATTTTACTAGTAGTTAACATATTAGAATGATATGAATTAAGAAAAATACAAAAATAAGATTAATACTGTCAAAACTCTTATACCAGAAAATATTGTGGTTTTTAGACTCTTTCAAAGATGAAATATGAAAATTTAAATAAGCTTTAACTATATAAAGAATCTTCTGTAATCTCAATTAATATACAGTGGGATAGCTATACATATATTTACCATTGTTCTTCAATTTTTAAGCACCAGTCACTCTTCTGGATCCACTTTGGTTGGAAGGTTCTTCGTATTTCCACAGGTTCATTTAATGGCACATATTGACCGCAAATAATTACCTTATCCTTTTAAAAAAAATAATGTTCTTATAACTAACTGCTACCCCACATTTCAGTTCTAGTATCTTCTGAGCCAGCTCACTTTTTTTTTCTTTTTTTTTTTNTTTTTTTTTTTTTTTTTTTTTTTTTTTTTTTTAAATCAACTGTAGCATCTCAAATAAGACTTCAAATATATGCAAGTAGTCTTTTAGGCTATACTTTCACACACTTAAGGAGCACTGTGTGGATAATGCCTTTGGCCAAATGAAGTAGTAACAGATTGTGTATTTGAAAACCAGTGTCATATTATCCACACAGATGTTATCTCCTTTAAGCAGCACAGATGACATTTGTGACACAAGTCTTGAGTGAKCCGAGCTGATCTCTACTGAGAGGAGAACTGCAACTTTTGTAACCGTTTTTGCAACGGTTTCAAAATAAACTCACTCGTGTGGCACACCAAAAGCTGCTGTTGCACTTTGTTTTTCAGAAAAGCTGCCCACGGGCCATTTACCGACAATACGAAGGCCTCACAGCTTCTCTGTTATAAATTTAAACAGTGTTGAGCAAAGTGACCGCTATATATTTGCTTCAACRTATTAAATGTATTTTAATAAGATGTTCAACTATAAATCCATATGAAAAATAGCTATAAAATACAGTGTTTTTTTCGTATGGTAACTCTTCAGCAGTTCTCTTAAAAAAAAAAAGGTTTGAAAGTAAAGGCAATATACACATTTTTAAACACATTTCTACATCACAGTTTTGGGCTGTTTCATGTAAGTCTATCAAACATATTGGCCATATTTGCTCAGCACTGTCGAACTGAATTTGAGGGTTTGTCTATGTCACCCAGTAACTCCTCACTTCCACATTTAATGAGATAAACAAGACACAGCCAGTACACAATTGCAGAACAAGGTATAGATAGTTCCGGTTTGGCCCTGGGCTGCATTTTCCAACGTGAAAAGCAATTAGTATTGATGCAAGTAAGACGGTCTGCGTTCGTGCTTGACGGGAAAGGATTTAAAGCCCTTATTCACCTGTTTGTGCTGGGAAGGCTGCTGCTGTGAGGGCTGCTGCTGCGTGTAGGCAAAGCTGGAGGAGATGCCGGCGGCTGGAGCACAGTCGTTGGCTGCTGCCCACACCGGGGACTGCAGGATCTGCATCGTGTCGCTCCACTGGCTCACGGGGCTGCTCATGGGGTACAGAGAGGCACTCTGACCGGGCAGGGTGCTCATGACCGAGGACGTGTGCTGCCAGGGGGCCTTCGGGGGCCAAGTTTTGGTCTTATTATCCTGGGGAGCAGGGAAAAAGGAACAACCAAAATATTTTGGTTGGGAGGGGGAAATATATTTAGTATTTCTTCCCTCTACTCTCACTACAGATTCAGAATGCTGATTTATCTATCTTTAAAAGCAGGATTGATGCAAACATACAGCACTCTTCATTCTTACACTGCTTGCTTAATGGAAAAATCTTTATTTGCTTCAGCACATTTGTTTGACTAGCACTACCCATGCTTTAAATCAAGCAAACATCAACCTGGTGATGCTTTATTTTTCTCCGCTCAGATAGTTTGATTGTGTTGCTTCTTAGCTTAATTTGAAGTCTTTGGGTTTTTTTTTTTTAAGTGACTCCCAAATTTGGTAACTACTAAAAGCATTTAGGGCTACTTGAGCACAAATGGCTTGGGGTTGTACCTGAGGGAAGTAGCCTGGAAGTACAGATAAGGCTAATTTTAGTGTGAGGGTTTCCTAGTGAAAGGCAAAAGCCAAAGCAGATGTGAGAAAAAATGACTGAGAGAAGCCATTTCAGCTTACCTGATTACGGTCATCTACGGTGGAAAGAAGAGGTGGTGATGGGAGCGTACCAGGTTCCTGCTCACCGCTGCTGTGCTTCCTGGAGGAAACAAAACAAAACAAAAAAAAAAAGCCCAAGATAAACATTTTTATCTCGGAGAAGGGAAAGCCTCAGATTTTTCCAGACATACTGTGTTTCAGCTAATAATGGATATTTGTACAGATGCTAGTTTATATAAAGGGACAGTTACTAATACAGCACAACCTGAGACTTCACAGCATGAAGATATTCTGATCCATATCAGCAGGATGATGTACAAACTAATTGGTGCAAATATTTCCAGTTGGTAGGAATCTGATTTGTTTGATTATTCAAATCAAATTACACTGAGAAAAAAGCATGAAGTGGTAAACATTTCTGTTAATTTTACTCACCTCCTTTGCTTTACAGCAGCAACAAGGTCTGGCCCTGAGAACATGGAGAACAAACTGTCTCCATTAGCTGAGGAGGTCTCATCACTTGAGCTGGCAGAGTCTCCTTGAGTACCAGACCAGCTGTTTGTCACATCCCTGTAAGACAAGACGCTCATTAGTCCTTATTTCTGCAGTGTCTGCTCCAGATTGTGCGCCCTAGTTCACTGCACTGAGTCTTTGTGATACCCCAGGGCACAAAATGTAAATTTCTTTGTAAAGCACCAGAGTAACATAAGACCTTCCACTTATTTACTTATCACCTCACTCACATGACATAGTTCTGTTATAATCAATTTATACATTCTATTAAAATAAATACATAAATTAAGTTCAATGCTACAGCTTCTCCCTGGTCTAGAAGAGCAAACAAATGACAGTTGCTTTTGCAACCACTAAGGTCATGATTATTTCACTACAAAATAGTGAGCTAAAACATACTTCAAAAGACCAAAAATACAGCAATTCAGAATTACCTATACTATAAAGCCTTCCTTTCCTCTGCTTGAGTAGGACTCGGGACATATCCCAGTCTAAAGAATGCATCAAACACGGTCAGAGCATCAACATCAAGCTAAGCAGGAAGGAGGTCCTCCCATTTCTAACCCTTGATGTACTGAAGAGCAGCCCTGCACGTGCAGCAGCAATCACCAAACACCTACTACTCGACACTCAGCTAAGTTGGAACATGAACTAGACACAAACACTGTAAATGCTTATCCCATTTCTTACCCTTCTGTGAAATACTCGGGAAAGGGCCAGGTTTTGTGAGGATCGTCAGGAAGAGGCCAGTTGCTGCGTGTGTTGCTTGGGCGACGGACGTGCTGTGCTTGCCTTTTTTGTTGCATAGCCTGGTTGACCCCAGCAACGTAGCGGGCAAATTCTGGATCAGAGCCAACTGAATGAAAGAAACCAAGAAGTCAGCTGCTGGCACACAGATTCTCCTCCTGCTGTTACCCCTTTCATTGAATCCTTTAAGCTTCAGTGTACCCCAACCAACAAAAAAATTGTTTSATCACAGAGGATAAATGTTGGACAATAGTTGATACCTCTTGATGGAGCAACAACAGACACTAAAAAAAATAACAAGAAGTGAATACACACCATCCATATCTAATGGATATTGGTGTCATGGTTTTCTTTCTACTACTCAAATATTTCTCACAATGGAATTGCCCCTCTTCCATCAAAAGGATATCATCTGTCACTATGGTCATGGCTAGAACTGGGAGAGAACATGGGGCTGAAAGTTCCCATTAGTCGACACTGACAAAATTAAAGCCTGTAAGTTTATCCAATCACAAGAAAGAAAGAAAAAAGGAATTATTAATTATTTTAATGTCTGCAAATTGAAGCATAACTTGCAGCTCACTATGTTGTGGTTCTGCTTGCTTCTTGAGAAATCAGGATCTCAGGTTCTAATTYTTGCCACTAGCCCCTAAACTGCCCACTTCCTTCAAGGACTATAGAACTGCAGGGCATTTCAGCATAAGATTGATATACTGAAAAAAAAGCAACACATACATCTTAAAGCTTTAAATTTCCAAAATATTCTTTTAAAATGTGTAATTTTCTGCAGACAAAGCAAAAACCTTAATCAAAAAGTATTTTAAATGCCTGATTTGCTCTAAATGGTCAGAGCAAACAACTCATGTATTAGAAAGAATATTAGGTGAACAGCACTAGGAAACATTGTTAGCAATATTTAGCTATTCTTTTCTTTGTAGTATAGTAAAGGAAAAGACAGATACCTGCAGGGTCAAAAGGCAGAATTTCTCCTAACATCCCAAACACTCCTTCAGTTTGGTCACGATTTGGCCACGTGTTGTTTCTAGGTCCTTGTGGTTTCTGTCCTAACATCTCTGACATCATATTGTCCATATAGCTGCTCACAAGACCCAAGCTGTACAAATCGGAGCTTAAATCTGAAAAACCAGGATTGTTCCACTGGTTCATATGAGACAAGCCAGCTCCGAGGGCCTGGGCTGGCTGCTGGGAAGAATTAGTCAGCCATTTGGCAGGTGCCCGTTGCTGTGGTCCGATAGGTTGAAGCAAATGCTGGTAATACTGCATTTGCTGCTGCTGCTTTTGTGGCTGCTGCTGCGACAGGCCTTGCTGAGAAGGATGCAGCGGTGGGTGGGAGAGAGACTGTGGCTGCTGTTGCACTGCTCCTGGTTTCTGCTCTGCTGTGGAGGATGCAACGGAGTTCCTTCTCTTCACCATTGGAGAAGTCTGCTGGGATTTGCCCATGTTAAAGCCAGACAAGAAATCTATAACATCCTGCATTTCTTGGTCAGTTGGTAGATTCATACCTTTATCATCCTTGCTTTCATCTGCTTTGAAGAAGCTGTCCCGTCTTTCAACTAGAAACCCATTCACTAACTGATTATTTGTGCTCTGAACTGACTGCATTGGCTCTGTGGTCCTAGGAAAATTACCAATGTTCAAGATGCTCTGCAATCGTGCATCCACGTTAGCAGGCATTTTAGCCTTCTCCTCCGAGCTGGAACTTATGAAGACATTTTTGGAAGGCGTATTGGGGATCGAGTAGCTTCCACTGTTAGTTGTACTGGTGCAGGAAGTTTTTTTTGTAAACCGTGAAGTCAGTTTTGAAAATGTCTTTTGTAGCCCCCCCGATGACTTGCTTCCGTTTCCAGATGGCATGTCAACTTGATTCCCAAAGTCAGAGATTTCACGCTGTAGCTGGATCTGAATACAAGGCAGAGCTTGCTCCCTGCATCAACAGAAACACCTGTATCACAACAACTAGTACATTCCATTTATCCTAACATCCTATCCTCTGTCCAAATCAATTTCAATTTGTATTTTGGAGGAAAACGTGTACYTGGAATGCATCTTACTGATACATCATATTGATGCATCTTATTGAGGTTATATTTCCTCAATTATTTCCTATGATAAAAGTACAAAATATTAACATTTGCAATAGCATTTATTACCAATTACTGATTAAAATTTTCCTACATTTATGCTTTTCTTTCCTTGTGCTATTTTAAACTGAAACTAATCTAATYTATTTCTGTAAAAGACAAACCAATACTTTTGTACACATGTATATGTGGACACTTTGTTAAATAAGCACAAAACAAACACGCCCACTGCATCTCCATACCTACAAGTTATCTATATAGAGTAAAATTTCTTACTCAAAGTCCTACTTTCCTGYTCTGAGCAATTGGTACTATTGAGTCCTTCAGCACAGGCCTTTAAATAACATAGGCTTTGTTACAACTAGAGAAGGTCAGCACGAGGCTCAGCAGCACATTTACCTTCCCTCCTTCCACCTGTGTATGTCAAACACAGCAGTATAGAGCACATCTACTAGTCCCAACATCTTCTCTGGGTCCAGACTCCTCTGTAGCAAAGACATTGTTGCTGGATCTTCTTTTAGACACCTGTAAGCATCAAATTTAACTTTTAAAAGTAAATATATCAAAATTCAGCTTTTACACTGAACAAGGTTTACCATATCTGTTTCTACAGAGAGCTAATTAGTAAAAAATGATATGCAGATGCCTGGAAGCCTGTAAAGCTCAAGTCTGCAGTCCTGTTTTCCCTTTTTTCTGTTGAACATGAAACTAAACTAAAGTATAAGTGAGAATTATAAGTCAACTAATCAAGATTAACATGCATCTCTAATGAAGCAAGCATAATTCAGGCACAGAGGCAGAAATAAGAAATACACAAAGTCTACTTTGGAAACGGCAAGCGTTCTCAATAACACGAAACGCCGGTGTGCGAGATCTAAACCTCGGCACCCTGGGCACTCCAGGGCTGAGAAACCCCCAGCCGCACAGGCCTTGCGTGCAAAATTATTCACTGCACCCGGAGTGCTGTGGGAGATTTTACTGAGCCTCGGAGGSGCAGAATTACTGCCTTCTTCAGCAGTGGAACAGAATTAATATTTAATTTAACATGAATCGGAATAATTTAAACCTAAATGCCAGCACATTCCTTCGTGAGRTACTTCCAAACACCTCCAGCACAGACAGTTAAACAGACATTTGTGTGTCAGAAGGGGGAGCTCTCCCTAAGAGCTGGTAATACTGAATGCTCTGGAGAGAGGGGAAAAAAAGTACAATTCCAATTTTGCTTTAAGAGAGTCAGTCCTCCCCTAAACAATGCAGGCTGAGCCTACATTCTTTTTAGACAAATAATTAGATAGGAGAAACAGTGTCTCTGGAATAGAGTACTGGGGTTCATACGAGCCTTTAAAGAACAGCTCTGTGAAAAGAGTGTCCCCAAACCCTTGCCTTCATCTCAGGTAACTGCTGGCCTTCCTGAGGTAAGAGCTGAGCAGACCTGCAGCAGCGAGGCTTCTGGACCTGACTTTCATCTGTTTTWTACTTTCTTTTCTTCAGAACCATCTCTCAGATAGCATTGCCTCTCTTCTGTCACCTCCAGCACACAGCTCTAATAGATATTTTAAGTGCAACCCGCAGTCAGTCTTTCAACAAGGGTACTCTGTGCTATTCTATTAGTTCCAGAGAAAAGATCTCAAAAAAAGTTATGCCACAATTAAAAAGTTTACCAAGTTGATGGAACTTGCACCACAATTCTGGTTCCTTCTAAACTTATTTGAGGAGCATATGCTTCCTTATTCTCAATCTGTGCTGTGTCCACAACCACCTAGCAAATAAGAGGAAAATAAAAAGGAAACAAAATTAAGAATTAGTTCCAGTTATTTTAATCATTCCTGTAGCTAAGATTAAATATTCTCACCTTTCTGCCACGCTGCAGATTCAAAATAACCAAACAAAAAACAAACCAACTCACAAATCATTTAAAGTTGACTTCAGTTTTAATATCTGAAGAGATGGAAAGCACGTAAAAAGATTTGAGGCATTATCCTGTATTGCAAGGACTTAGTTCTCCCCACTTACATGTGGTAGTTATGCCTCACAACACGCAGTTACCACCTGCTTTACACAGCAGCTGCTAGTTACCAACAGCCCCCTGGAGCAGCTCTCACMTCTGAGAGGTTTGGATCCGAGACTCACGTTTTACTTTGGTAGCACCCAAACACTTTCTTATCCAAGTATTTTTAAGAATCTAACTACAGTACCTAATGTAATGTTGACAATAGTATTTAGTTGATAGTGCTCAGCGCAGCTTGCAGTTCTTCAAACACCCCACCACCATTCTTTACTTCTTTGTTTTGCATTTATAAAATCCCATATCAAACTGTCTGTACTTTCCTACTGGAACTGTAGTATTTTTAATTCCCTACTAATGGGAAATATAATAGGGGGAATCTGTTCAATTTGTTGAATTCTGAGCTTTCTGTAAGACACCACACAGACAGATGGAATACAAAATTTTTGAAAATTGTGTCACAAGCCTTTCTTTTTATGGAAACCAAGAGGAATGGAGTCACTTCAGCTTCACTTAAACTTGCACACCAGTGTTAGTAAGTTCCATATTTGGCTTGTGCTTGATGGTGTTGTTCAGTGTGCATGGGTGGGTCTTTTTGGTCATTACCATAATTTCCTATTTTGGTCATGCTGAACCAGCAGCTTTTTGGCAGCAGTCAGCACTTCTTGCTTCAGTGACTAGCAGATTAGCTGTACCACTTAACCTTGCAATGGCAAAAGGCCCCCAGTAGAAATAAACCTCAAGGGATTCTACTGACTTTTCCTGCCATCATCCTATGCTGGTTCTGCTTCTAGCTGGTTGTCTTCTTCTGGTTACAAAGAAACGTCAAGTGTTAGTAATGCTGAGCTTGTGTTTTCATAGAATCATAGAATGCCCAAGGTTGGAAGGGACCTCAGAGGTCATCGAGTCCAACCCCCCTGCTCACGCAGGGTCACCTAGAGCACGTGGCACAGGGCTGCATCCAAGCGGGCTTTAAAGATCTCCAAAGAAGGAGACTCCACAACCTCTCTGGGCAGAASTCTGCTGCAGTTTTCTCTGCAGCATCAACCAAACAATCTAAGGATGCTCAAGCACAACTCTCCCACCTTTTCAAAATTCTCTTCCAGTAGATTGGATATTTGATTTTGTTTGTTCTCACTTGTAAAATGTGTTTAAGCGGTTACAGAAAGCCATCTTATTATCCACTCATGAAAACGCATCTTATTTCATCCACAAGTGTGCAATTCCTTTTTTTTTTTTTTCTTTTTTTCTTTCTCTCTTCACTTAGCACTTTCTCTTCTCTCTTCATTTTAGCACTTTAGTTTTATTAAATTTAGCATTATGAGATTTGGCTTTATTGCAGTTACAGTGGGGCTAAGAGTTCTGGTGGTTCTTGTTCCATGCTTCTGGTTGTGCTTGGTGTTCATGGTCTGGGTTCCCCTTCCTTCCCTTCTTTTTTATTTTATAAAAGAAAAAAAAAGAATTCTACATTTCTCAGCAGCACTTGGTCAGAGTTACAACATCTGGGATTTAAAAGCTCCTCGGATAGCCATTACTTCTGTAGTGTATGTTGTTTTCAAGATACAAGAAGACAGCACAATAAAGGATGGCTAATTAGAAACTCAGTTCAACCTACTTTTTGTGTGAGACCAAGTCAGAGTTTATTTTGACTCATCCCCTGAATTCAAATTTTCAGTCAGGGTCTATTTTCACTCATCCTCTGAATTTAAGTATTTTAATAGATGCTAATTTTATTCAAACATAAAAATTTCTTCAGCTGACCCAATTCTGAAAATACTGTTTTCAATACATATGCTAAGGTAAAAATCTGAGTAAGTGCACTTTTTAAATAATTTCTTATATGAAGAAGTAAAGCCAGAATAATGAAGCCGACTCACACCTCACAGTGCTTTCTACTCTTACTGAGAGTTTCTTCTTGAAAGGTACCCAGCATACAGATGAAACAGATGACTGCCTAGCAATGCTCTATTTAGCCTTTAAATGACAAATTAACTCCTATTTCTTAACTAATGCAGGTAGATTGTTTTCTAAACACAGTAAACCAGTGGCTGCATAATATTGTCCCAYGATTCATTTATGTGAGCTCAAAATAAATTCAAAATAAACACATTTCTCACTCCCCGCCTGGTGGTGCTTGGAAGATGGCTTCCTGTGCATCAGGCATCTATTGTTCTTGTTTTACAGGTGTTTCCTCCCTCATCTCCACYCACAGGGTGCTTCAAAGAGGAGAATTACAATCTATTGTCAGTGCAGGAGGTTATATACAAGTGTAACTGAATCTTGAAATACTGAATCTTGAAATAAATATATATATATAGTGCCTAGTTCACAAACAAAAATCTCAACCTTTCCACCCAAATTACAGCAAATCACAAGTGTAAACAGAACCCAGAAGGTCTGTGAGTCCTCTGTAAAGTGTGTGTCTCATTACTGTGCCTCTGAAGATGAAAACCTGCTCCCTCCAGGGCAAGAGATTCAGGCAGCAGCTTCGAGCTGGTCATGCTCCTACTCCAACAGTATTCCTYAAGTCAGCACCATCATTTGGGAGACTGCAGGTAAGTTTTATGCTGAGAGCCCTCCCTACGTCATGCTAAACCTGAGGAACATCAGCACTTCAACTGCTAGCAGGTCTGGCGGGTTGTGTCTAGCCTGGGGAGCACCAGGAGACTCGGAGGCTCCCGATCCGGGGCAGGAAGGCGGCGCGCGGAGCCCCGCACGCCGAGCCCTCATTTCCTCGCGCAGGAAGCGCGGCCACCTCCGAAGCCTTCCCAGCGTGGACACTGGGGGCCGGGAACCCCTCCAGGGTTACACCGCGCTCCCACCGCCCAGCTGAGACAGAAACAGCTTCTTTCTTGGACTCATTCCCCTGAGCTCGCTCCTGGCTGAACGTAACGCACAGCCACTCAGCTACAGCCCTTTGCAGCCCTTGCGTTCCCTGGGAATTAATGCACATTTGCTAGAAAACATCTCATCAGGAATTTGCTCAATGCAACTACTCAACAGTTGCCGCCTTGACCTCCAAAAATCTTACCTTCCTATATCTCCCTGTCAAACTTCTACAACATGCTTGATGATCTACCATTTCCTGACCTATATCCATTTACACAGTGATACCAAATACCAAAGGGATATCTAAGATCTAATATCTCAGGTATGCTCATGGAMAAATTCATCATTTACCATTTATCATGTCATTATTACAGAACCTATTACCACAAGCAAAAATAAATGCTTTAATGAACGAAGCCTGGAGGTCATGCAAAGCACTTACCTGGGTGCTCTACTTGCTTGGAAAAAATAATGATATTTTAAAAAAGCTATTTTCAAGGKATGTAGCTGCACAGAAATACAGATTTTTGTATCAGAAGTTACAACTTGTTATAAAATCTTGATGGCCTGYACTCACCGTGAGAAGAGAGTCAGTATATGAATCAACAGGAAGGACTTAGCTCATAGAAGCTTAAAGGTGATTCAAAGAATATTTGGCAAACCTTCATAAGCTACAACACACCTTTGTACATGCGTTTCCGACTGCACTCCTGCCCCAATTTTAGTTGCCCAGCCAAATGCGAGTTCATAGTAGTTTGAAACTTCTTTTTGTCATGAACAAACACTATATTAAATAAAAAGGTTGCAGTAACTAGGCATGGCAGCACAAATGTGTTTTCTTATCAAAATATTCAATCATATGTTTTTAGAAACCGATACTGTAAAATATCTGCTTTTTCCTTTTGAAGGCGGCACAAGCCTACAGCAACTCTCTGTCCTGTGCTAGAGATGGCAGGTAGCATTATTTGGCAGGGAGGGCTTCCTAGTGTCTGGTAGGCAGGAAACTTCCATTCAAGAGGGAAAGAAAATGGAGAAAAAAAAAAAAAAACAACAAAAAAAACAAGCCAATTCTCAGTGTTGATCTCAGAAAAGGGGGTTTGAAGCATCTTCTTTTTCTTCTTTTTTTCTTTTTTAATATGGTCACCTGCAGATTTGAAAATATTTCTAATTTGGTGTGTATTGGAGTTGACACTTCATTTCTAATCAGTGCCGATTATCAAGGACACTGCATCTTCCTGTTCATATCAACTACAGATAATATCTATGAATTTACATTCTACAGGGATACAACTTGTTCTCAACTCAAGTTACCTGTAGGGTTAAAATGAATTAACAGCAAGCAAGATACTGGAAACAAATTTCAAAACTTCACATTTTCTGAAGAGAAACTAGATATTTTAAGACAGTCCTTTTTTGCTGAGCCTATCCATAGTAACTTACCAGTCCAGCTTGGCCAAATAACAACTGTACAGCAGTTTTGCAGGCTCCTCGCCAAGTCGAAGGGCAAACCTGATTTAGTACTTCAGTAACAGGAGAGTCATCCCGTGGTGTCAGTCCATTATGGCATCCAGCTTCTTTAATTAACTGCAGCATTGTGTGCTGAAAGTCATAAAAACTTTTGTCATACTAAACATGGGAATCAGAAATGTTAACACCGAGATTTGTTGTGCCATTGTTGTATATATTAACAGCTTTTCAAAACCACAACAAAAAAAAATTAGCACCTCCTACCTCTAAATAGTCTTCATGGTTATAAGACTTAACTGTGGAACAGAAATCTAGAGAACAGGCTCTGCTAATAGGATTATTTTCCTCCAACATCATAAACTTTAGCTTATGTTCCGGCAAAGCAGTTTAATCGAAAGTACAAAAAGCACCAAACAGAAAACAGGAAAACAACATTTTGTGTTGTGAGTTATTTCAACTCTTTCAAGAGCAAGGAACTAGGCTTATCTAAGAAAACTGAAAGTTTTAAGAACAATTAAAATTAACCAAATTATTTCTGAATAGACATCTTTCCTTAATACTGAGGATTTCATTACCTTTTCTGCTGCTTCTAAAATACAATTTGAATTGCTTTGGTAAAACAGCTTAGAATTTGTAACACAACATTAAAAGCAGCCTTACTACAAATATTTTTTTTTTTCCAAATACCTTCCCCTTAATGCCACAAGGGTTGAGCTTTGGGCATCTGCTACGGCTTCACTCTCCTCTGCACTTTCTGAACCTACTCATCTTCTTCCAAAACAGGAGCTTAGCTGCCTCCTAGACTTCTCTATTGTGCTTAGATTGAACTGAACTTGTCCAGGTGGTTCAAAAGTTATTAAAGGAAGGATAATGCTGTAGGTCCATACACATCTGCTTCTGTTCTACAGAACCTGGGCTAAAAATATGCATTTTTAAATACGAGTTTGGCATTGTGCTTACTGCATTTCCCTTCATTTTAAGGGATTGTATTGATTTTTTACAACTGCGGTTAGATTCATGGTTATTACCGTTTTCAGCTTCAGGTTTTCTGCTGCAGACTCATTAAAAGATATTCCTTTCAGAAAATGGGATCCTATCTGAACAGGTACAGTGGGGAGTTCACACTGAATTGGCTGAGGTGGAGTCTGCCTCCTTCCGGTTTGTTGGGCTTCAGCTTCACTGCAACAGCCCTGAAATGCAAAAGAACCGATCAGACAGAAGAAATTGAAGCTGATAAAAAAAACAACCCTTATATCCTAATATTAGAGAGTCTAATTTATTTTCAAAGCAAGCAGGGAGGAAAGATAGATAAGGGCTAGCAGATGTTACCTGAAGACTTGCTTCAATAGCCTTTGGATTCAAGTGGAAGCCAGCCTTCATTGCATATTCACAGTGCCCTAAACTCTCCAAAGCCACTTTGTAAGCCTGGTATTAAAACAAAGAAAAGTTGAGGTGCAACATCAACAGTCTAAGAGTGCACAGTCTTTGCATCTGGACACATTTATAAAAATCATTATATGGATTTATGTTACTGAGCTCCACAGTGTACGCACACTTTTCATACAAGATTCCAGTTCTTGCAATTCTCAGAGATCCCTCAGCTGACTGTGGTACACATTTCTGCAGTAATGTGCTGCTTCCTATCGTATTTCTTGGTCCACTGACTGCATTACATACTAGTGCAAACAGATTTCCAAACCTCACCTGCAAAGCACTGTCAATTTTCATGTTTAACTCTTTAAGCTGATGTTCAGGGATTGCCACACTCTGTGAGCAGAAGAGTTGCTGAACTTCAATTCCAGCCAAACACCCATCGCAGCCTCGTTCTCGCAAGCGAGATGTGGCCTGTAATGCAAAATAAAAGTCTACAGTAAAGTGTATTAGTTCAACATTAAAGCAGATCAAGCTTAACCAGATTTAAAAAAAAAAAAAAAAAAAAAAAAAAAAAWAAAAAAAAAAAAAAAAAAAAAAAAAAATGTTGAAGTTGTATAAAGGAGATGAAGAGAAGCACCTAAAGAGAAAAGATCGAGAGGAGGCTGTACCTCCTTATTAACTGATACTTTGAAAGCAAAAATCTCATATAAGTCACGCAGCATATAGGTGTTAGCTAGCAACTCAATTCAACGTTGCTTACTGGTACTATCTCAACACTCTCTCTTAACTAGGAATCCTGTTACACAGGCCACATGAGGAGCATGGCTACCAGGCAGAAGAGGGACTTGCAATTTTAACACAAAGGGTATTTCTGAACACTTGCCACAGAAGCAGAAAGCACAGTCATGTGTACAAACATATAGGGTACATAGGATATACATTAAGAAAGGAATTTCTGTGATATATTTTTAAAGGAGTCTTATGAGACTGCAAGTGGATTGTTAAAGACAAAAAGACAAACAAACAAAAAAGTTAAGGTCCAAGACATGCAAACCCAAGCTGAATTTTAACTGTCACTGAAAACAAAATTAATAGCAATTACAGAACATTTCTAAAAATTATAACATAGCTTTAAAGAACAAAGTACGTTAAACATGAATCAAACTTTCTTTTTTTAACAAAAAAAATTTTAAAATAGTAACAGGTCTAATCCTGGTACAATTTTAAAAAGATTATCTGTAATAAGGCACTCCAAATCCCCATTTTTCTCAGTAGAAGACATCGATGCTGTGGCACGAATTACAATTTGTCTACATTTATAGTTCTACGGGAAACTTGTTTGTTTTCATATACCTGGGAAATGGAAACACTGACAGTATTTCCAGTTAGAATGATTAATGTGCCTGTTGGGCTGCCAAATTAAGACTTTCAGAGCACATGTTCCATATTACTTGAATTTAAGGAAACCATGCAACCAATGTCTGTAGCCATTCTGATCCACTAGTCTGTAGATTTAATAGCATACAGAAAATGGAGAAACAGTCATAAAATTCCTTTTCTTGCTAAAGTACTTTTTCTTTACAAGAAAAATGAGGATTCCACAGATAAGTGTTTATTAAAATGGAAGTTCAGAGAATTGTAAATTGAAGTAATATGGCTAACATTCCATCAACTTATAAATCAAGCAACATGAAGCTTAACAGTTCTCCTTCAGCGTGAAGATTCTGCTCTCATTTTTCAGAAAGACATCTTTAAAAAATTCCCTCTGTCCCCTCCTAACCAGAGTATTAATTCATCAGTAATAACAAGCAGCTGTTTCCACTCTCTGTGGGCTCCTTAGGTACAATCACAATACAAGGAGAAAAACACCTTTATAAAGGGCAAAGATAGTGTGAAATATCACATAGATAACAAAAGCTTTAGCATCTGAAACTACTCATATCATTCCCTCAAGCATCATGGCAGGCTTAAAAATTAGAGACCTCTTTTGTTTTTACAGCATGCCATCTTGAATTCAGGTGTCACTAAATAAAATACAGTTTCACAACAAGGCATCCATACCTCTGCTGCTCCTCTCCATGATCTTATTGCATCTTCTAGCTCGTTTGTGGGGCTTAAATTGGAGGCTCCAGCCCCACTGACGCTCTTTCTTTCCTGAGCTACAGCTTCGGCAAAGCAGGAGTGGGCCACTGGCTGCACCTTCTGCAGAGCTTGCGACAGGAACTGAAAGTGGACCTGCAGCACCGTCAAGAAACAGCGCCCAAGCACCTAGGGGAGGAAAAACCAACGGATATTTAGCAAATAGGGAATTTTATGGAGGTGGTCAGCATTTGGGGTGAAGATCCAAGTTAAACTCAGACTTCTTTTGATTAAAAAGTGCAATTCAATTGACTTGCCTGAATTGAAAGACAGAACCACCGAAGACAACGAGATGCCATTTTGGGGCTCGGGTCGCGGCTGCGGAATCGGCACACGGAGCTGCGGCCCCAGCACCCTTCACTCCAACGAGGTTCGGTGCCACGGGCCGCGTCACGACTGCTCGCGTGCAAAGCGGGGGACAAGCAGGAACACGAGGCCACAAGAGCAGGGCCACGAGGGCCGGGACACGACCAGCCCACAGGGCAGCCCTGGGAACGGTGGCAGCGGCCGGGAGCGCGCAGCGAAGCGGCGCAGAGCGCAGCAGCATGGCAGGGCTTTTTCCAGATTCCTGCAGCCGCCATCCGGGAAGCTCTTCAAAGTGTTTGCTCGCTGCTAAGCAGTTTGTCACACAAAGCAGTTTAAAATGTATATTGGACTTTGATTTATTCAAAAAGGCTAGACTTAAAATTCCATTTTTAGGAATAATTCATAAAATATACAGATAATGTGCAAAGCCATCCTGCCTTGGAGCGAATAAATCATCTGGCTTGTTTTCAGCTACATTCTTTTGGAGCAAAAATATTCAGACACAATGATCTTACTGGCAAGATCCTGCAGTAACACTAACAGTTATATGCATCAACTATCTCTTCTGAAAAGAATCAGTGGTGGCAATTCTTTTTTCCATTGCATCCGGTCTCCTTTTGACATTCCATTCTGGTTCAATCACTTCCCTTCTTTGTACAAAGCACAAAATTAAACATTTTTGGTATTTTCACCAACCTCTGAAACTGTAGTGTGTCATTTCAAAAAAAGTACTCTGCAACTGATAAAAGAAATTAAAACTCCAACTTTTCTGGCCACAAATTGAAAGATTTCAAAGAAAACTGGAGAGAGAGGAGACTGGTGACCTGAGTATTTCTGTGCACGGAGCATGCAGCACCCAGGGGAAGAAGAAATTAGGACTCATTTGGAATTTGAAGCCAATTAAGTTTCAAAGAATATTTAAGGTACAGAGGTTGAAGTTTCCCCCCTGCCTGGGAATAACACTAAAAAATAAACAAATGACTTCGCTTAAGTGGCAGCACACAACATTCCTAGTATAATTTACAGTATTAAGCAGTAAAGATAAATACTAACATCTGAACTTTTGATACTTGACTATACTAACTTGAATTTTTATTAAACTATGCAATAGTAAAATTATTAATATTATTTAGTTAGTTAACTTTAATTTGAACTTTTGTGTGACCAATAACCAATTTCAGTCTCCTTAGAAATGCAGAAGGATGGTTTTAACTGCTTAAATAAAAGCTACTTGGTGGGGGATTTTTGCACTGTGAACACTTGCTCCAAATGCCCAACTCATTTTGTTCTACAACTCGCTGTTTGAGCTCTTGCTTCTGAAGAGCGGCGGCCCCTACTCTGCTGTGGGAGAGAAGCACAACCAGCGGCAGGGCAATGCAGGCAGCCAGCAGTTACCGTGTGAGGGGTGTAAAGCAACACACTGGTACCTGCTGCCCAACCTGCAGAGAAGCAGCACAGCACAGGCTTTTCACAACGCCACCATGTGTTTATTTTTTCCTACTTTCCCATGCAGAACTGTTCACCACTTTTTGAGACCATGGAAAGGACTTGCATCACTCATGGGGTGCAGAGGTTGGTTCTTTTTTGTTGGTGTTTTTATACCCCTTCTTAGCATCATTTACACTGCACATATGATGAGCTCTTCTGGTCTGCAAAGCTGTTATCCCACGAAACACACCCAGATCACCTTTGACTTCCCCAGCCCTTTGGCAGGAAGAGCAGCAACTTCAGCAGCCACGTAATCCCACCTAGGGGAATCTGTCATCAGGTTCAGGCAGCTGGAAGCAACGTAATTTTCAGGGAGGTCTTGTACCAGACTCTCTTGCCCCTAAAGCAGGTGACTGTTGTGTTTATTTAGTGTAACTTGCTTCCAATTGCAGTTGCTTAGGGAATTACTGTTCCTTTTCCATGCATCTTGAGGAAAAGGAAAATCTATTTTCTTTTTTATCAATTTGTTTTTGGAAGCAAGCCTCTCAAACAGTGCAACCTCAGGAACATGCAGGGAACAGCAGCTCATCCCCAAGGATTCACCCAGATACTGCAGGAAATTAGGGGACAATCATGATACCACAAATGACAGCTAGTAACCGAGCTGGTTGATATAACCAGACTGGTTATGTGCAAACTGAAAGCTCACACGAGGATGCTGCCCTTGGCTACACTCCCTCCCCTATCGTCATCTTGATGGGAGCAGGTGATTAGTTCTGGAGCATTTTGCTAGACAAATTATACACAATAACTGCACAGATTGCTGAACATGCAAACTCCCAGCCAAGAAATTTTAAACGTAGATCCTTTAAAACACCTATGGCTGTCGATAAAGTCTGCAAATCATCAATACATCAGTCTCGTAAAAGTACCTCCCGTCCTGTGCACCATTTAACAGAACAGTACCAGAGTGGGAAGAAAGAGGAAGGGCAGCTTTTCTCGCAAACCAACCAGCCAACCCAAACGCCACCACAAGGCAGAGTCGCTCCCCAGTCCCAACCACCCCGCTCCCTTCGCAGGGCCCCTGCTCGTGCCGGTCGTGGCAAGTGGCCCCATCTCGTCCCCACGCGCAGCGCGGCCCGCAGGCACCCCCTGCCACCCACAACGGCCCTGCGCGGGACCCGCATAAATGACCTGCCAGCATTAGTTATATTTTTACCTTGACACTACCAAGAGATGGGGACAATCCAGGAGGCTCCTTTACACTGGCAGGCAACCTGAAAACCCTGTAGCAGTAACCTGATATCAAGAGCTATTAAAGTACTAACTATTCTTAGACATTTTTTGGCTAAATTAGTGTTAAGGCTATCTTAAAAAAAAAAAAATCTAATACAAACTATTTCTAACTACTCTACTAACAAACCAGAGAGCAGACTATGAGATTATAGACTGAAGCAGCAGAACAGCATATAATATTGTTCTAGCCACAGTACTTTTCTAGTACTTTTTTGCTAGTAACAATTTCCCATCCCCCAAAACTCTGCAGCTGATCCCTGCAAACCACAGAAAAAAATAATTCAAAAGCTGCAATCCAGCCTTTATAATATTTGCAAAGGAAAACATACCTTTTATATTTAAGACAGTTTTGTTCCATAAACTTCCTAGATACTCCAAAAAAAAGCCAGAAATAATCACCATTTAATATAGAGCTACCACTTTGTGTCCCAGTCATGCTCCCCTTTTGCTTATGAGGGCAACACAACTGGCTCTGTCATTAGCACTACAAAACTCCACCTACAGCTAAAATGTGACTCACTCTTTGCGCTCTGCAGTTCTCAATCACCAGACATATTTCTTAATTAAGAACCCTTGGCAAATCTGCCTGTCACCAATACTTTGATCAAGTGACGGCAGCATTTTTTATATATCCCAGCAGACCGCTCTGAGCAACTTATCTCTGTTCTGACAATAAATAAATAAAGTCACCACCGTTGCTACAAGTCCAGGTTGCACAACATTTTTTAGGTGCAACTAAACCAGCCCACGTTCATCACAACTTGGAAGTTTTCTTAATAGGGCCTTCCCTGAGAGCTAAAGGCCACTACACTGCTTAAAAGCATGAGGCATCGCAAGGAAGCTGTAGCTCTCTCCCAACTTGTAAAAGTCAAATCTCTTCCACAGATCTCGTTCCACCTGAGGGAGGCTTAGGAAAGGAAGACTTTCCTTAGGGGAGACCATGCATGGGAAAAACCCGGTTCTGACTTCCATCCAACTTGGAGTTGTGTCCTCCCATCACAAGGGATTAGGACTCCCCTCCTGCTGCTCTGGGCTGCCAGACGCCATCCCCCCAAGGAGGGGCTCTTGGGCATCTCCTGCAAGGGCCTTTCCGAGCTGCCACTCAGACATTCAATCAGCTCCTAATTCTTTTTCCAGACAGATAATCAGCTCAGTTCTTTCAGTCATCTACCAGGGAAGCTGGAAAAGCAACCTCAAACATTACTGTATTTCCCTTCTGTCAAGGGAAAAATTATGCTGCTTGTGACACACTTTCCCTCTGGTTTTCCAGGACAGTGAATCCTGATATAAAACAAGCAACTCCTTTATTTTATTTCATTTTATTTTTGCTTCCATTAGGTAGGTACAGAAGTGAATTTTTTATTCCTATTTTCAGAAATGTTAACTTTCCTACAGATTTGGGGGAAAAAAATGACTAAACTATATATTTTTACTTAATGTTTATCAGAAATAGAGTCTTTGAATCACAGAAAAGAGCAGGGGAGGTTCTCAAAAGGTCACCCTACTGTCCAAGCAAGGAACAACTTTAACTGACAGAGGCTTAACCTCTTTTCTAAGTTCTTTACAATGGGGGCTCAGCTGCCTGTGTGGTGACGATGCACGTCAGTGCTTCACTGACGTTACAAAGACTTCCACGGCGTCTAACATGCAATTCTCTGCTGCTTGCTCTATCTGACATGCACACGAAGGACAGAATGTTGCCACCTCTTCTGGCCACTTCTCGCCTATCTGAAGAATTCTCGTTTTCCTCCTTGCTCTTCTTTTCTGTAAAGCCAGCAATGCCCCCACCTTCGTCCACCCCACAGATCTGTCCTCTATTTTCTGGACATCTCATTTTCTTGCTGCTTTCCTCCGGTCTCTCTCCAATTGCTCACCATTTCTCTAAATGCAAGAGTAATAACAGTTTGGTGCAGCATGGTATTTAGTATTACATTAGCTCGAGTGAAGAGAGCTGAATTCTTACATCATGGTTCCCGCTGGTTATTCCCTGTTAACACCTGACAAGCCTCTCTGCACAACACACCAACATTGATTTACAATTTGCAACAGCACAACCCCAATTTCCTCTCAACAGATGATGATCATCAGCCCTAGACCCCTCTCTGCAGAAGTGCTGCCCAACTGCACATTCACCATGCTCCATTAGTGAGGACAGGAGGCTGCTTAAGTAGAGCACTTGGCAGTTTTCCCCTCTGAATTCCATCCCAATTGAAAAACTCATTTGTGCAATTTAAAATTACTTTTTAATTCAGCAGGTCTTCCTGCATATTCATACCATATAGTTCCACATCATCTATAAATTTAAAAGGTACATTCCCTGCACAGACCATTGCCAAGCCTTATTCAACATATACTCCCATTTTGACAGTGAGGCACCAGTAACTGCTTCCTGGACATAATTAACCAATTAGTGTGACATATACTGCTGTCATCTAACCCATGCTCCCCAGCTGACTTATAAAACTATCGTGTGAGTCACTGCCAAATCCTAAAACTTCGCTCACTCTGATGCAGAAGTAGAACGTAAAAGTTGTCCCTGTAATCCTTGCCCCATTAAGCAAAAATTCTCCTAGCTTTTGCGCATTGACTTTATGTATAAGATATAGCTTTAATTAAGAGAAGATTAAGGGCACTGCAGTGATGAGTGATTTCTTTCCTCTAGATAACACCCAAAAACAAAACCAAGAAATCTAGTTGTTCCACCCGTGTTCTCTTTAAATGTGACCATAACATATACAGAGCTACGTAGCAAAAAAAACCAAACAAACAAAAAAAAAAAAACTACCACTGCAGGTGCACGTTCTGCTCAGGCACCAGGGCCATGGCTACAAAGGTAAGCGGAGACGGACACAAGTTTCTCCACTCGCGCCCTGGGCTTCCAGGAAGCAGAGCTGGGCTGAAACAGGGCTTGGCTTTTGCTCACAGGCTCCAGCTTCAGTCAGGGCGAGCAAGGCCCTCCCTTCAGGAGATCCCCGGCCGGGTGCAAGCAGTGCACCAAGTCACACCTGGAATCACCGCCTCGGTTATAAAAGCAGCACAGACCGTTGCCAACATTTTGCAAGACTGTTTTAATGCCCACAAAAATGCTGGAAGAAAGACGTATCACTACAGTCAGAAGTTGCTCACTAACCTAATACTTTCAAAAAGACAATGTAGCAAAATAAAAGAACATTTTATTTCATCACAGAAAGCATTGCTCACAGAAATAAAAGAAAGGCAGTGAGAACTTCTGGAGAAGCAGCGATTTTAAGGAGAAGTTCAATTACGAAGGAATGAGACAAATTCACACGCAAACCGGTCTCCCAAGGTAACTTACCTCAATGTCTTGCAGGCTGAATTCTTTTTGATCTTTAAAGTTTGCAGCTCCTGCGCTCAGTTCCATCAGCATTTTTGCTATTTCTGGTTTTATTGCTGCTGTGAGTCGGCTCGCCGCTTCCATGACATGTTCCTGCACGTCTTTCAGTTGCATAGCTGCCTTAGAGTAGTGCGAGTTCCTAAATACACTGCTGAAAAGGTCTGTGAGGAAAGTGCTCGTACGGCAGAACACGTTGAGTGCATCCAGGTATTTGGAGATTCCCTGCTGGATGTCTGCGATGGGAGTAGTGTGGGATCCGGGGTGGCTGCAGCTGCCCGCAGCAGCCGAGGGGACCAAAGGGGACGCCGGGGTGGTGGAGGCCAGCGGAGCGCTCAGGGTCCTGCCTAGCTCAGGCAGTTGATACTGCTGGTGTTGCTGCACTTTCTGCTTGGACCCGCCAAGCAAGAAGCGCCGCTTGTAGTCCATTTTGCTTTCCTGGGCACTACAGCAATACATAAGTGAGTGCTTGTCCAAAGATTCCTTGAATTCACAATCACTTGTCAAATTCCTTCTGCAAATATATAGCTATGTACAGTAACAGTGGAGGACTGTGTACATAGGTTTCACAAAAGGCATTTCAAAAAGGCAAGCGTCTGTATAATCTGTATCAGCAGTGAGAGAGGCAGCAGCTTTGCTGACTTTGTATTTTCAGTGTTCAGTGCAGCCCTGCTGCAGTTACAAACTGTACTCAAAAAGCATGCTGAAGTATCCTAATAATGCTCTGTCTCGTTTGGTATTCCACTCTGCACGCAGAAAAGCGACACTGGAACAGAGACGTTATCGCCTATAATTTCTTCATGAGCATCTTGACACTTCCCGTGAAGTCTACAAAAGTTATTTTCCTCAATGCAAATAATATTTTTAGAAGCAATATCTTAATACACTTTTCCAATTAGTAACATCAGGAAAAGCGAAGCAAACCACCGATCAACAGCGATTATAAAAGCAGTGCAGAGGCTCCTTCCTTGAAAAAGCAAATCCTTACATCAGCAGATCAAATATCTTTAAATGTCTTGACAGATCCAGTCTGTCAAATTAGCTTACTTGTAGTGTCTCTTCTTAACATTGGAGGAAAAAAAATCTGGACTCTGTTTACAGAAGACTTTGCAAATATAAGCTATTAAAAATTAGAGTGTTTATTATTGCAAGCCTTCTCCTTTCCTTGTTTGTTGAGGTAGTTGTTTCCGTTGTAACATTAAAAAGTGGTGCTTCCAGACTGCATTTGCCCTCAATTGGAGACTCGGAACAAAAATGCACAAATGTATTTGTAAGGCCTCTAGGTCATTTCCTGTGGAGGAAAAGCGGAGGAAAAAAAAAAAAAAAAAAAAGTTAAAAGGCTATGGAACAATGAGAAGCTTTAAGATTTTAACTCCTGCAGCGTGCTGACATATTTCTCTAGGCATACATTGTGATCAATATATATGATCAAAGAAGGGAAAGTTGTACCGTTAATTTAAAAGGCAGTTACAAGTTGGTATTATCACGTTACTAACTTAAGAGTGGTGAATATTTTCTTATTCTAGTTCTCCCCCCCTAGACGGCCGGACTTGAAACTAGCAGTTAATCCCCAGTGCAACACTTCTAGAATTAACAACAGTAGAAGGCTATTTATGCACAATTTAGGGAGAGTTAATCATATTTTCTAATCTTATCCTTTTTTCAATAATTTAAGAATCAAGTAAATGAAACCTTTTTTTTTTCCTCCCTACACACCATAATTTATTGCAGAAATTTGAGATTCCTAGTGATTCTGCATGAATAATTTACTGGATGAACAGATACAGCTCTTTTTATTATTTTTGTTTTCCAGTGCAGCAGCACAGACCATATTCTGTTAAATCCTAATGGAGATTCGCCCAAGAATATGATGCAGTTGGGCAACGAGTGATCACTAGGAACACAGGTGGGTGCATATTCATGAACTGGCAAGTGTCACACTAGGAGCACATTTATATTTGTATGTGTGTATATATAAAGATATGTGTGTTTATATATATGCCTGTGCACAGAAAGAGATGAGAGAATTTATAGCCTGTTACTTAATCTCATTGCAATGTCTTCCTTTTCTCTATGCCAGGGTCAAAACTGCCATGACCTAATTACTCCTTATCTTGCCAGTTAGTTTAGACTGGGAAACTCAGTTCCAGTTTCCTAAACAATTACACTTCTACATTCTTCCCCACTTTAGAGAGCAAATTCCTATTTCTGGGGAAGAAGAGAACAACAAAAGAAACTTGGGATTTCTAATGTCTGGATGTTATTAGAGGGAAAGTATAATGTACAGAACTGTAATTTGTCCAGTCAGTTTATTCAGGCTTAGTTATTACTCACACGTTAGGCTGCTCTCTCCCAGAGAATTGATTTGATCAAATAAGGACATTCTTTTCCTTAGCACAACAATAGTAAAGGGTAAGTACCAAACAGTAACTCACAATAGTTTTTTTTTTTTATCCTGAACACTTAAAAGTAAAAGGAATAATCCAGAACACTTTAACTCAGCACAAACTATTCCCTTAACTATATGAAAACTCTATCAGGAACATCAAAAAGGTTGAGGAATTAAGATTTTATACTTGGTCAGAATTTGTTTTCCACGTGTCTAAAGGAATAAAATATTGAATTATTCACATAATGTGTTTTGACATGTCTGATACAAAGATCCAAAAATAAAAACATAAGAAAAGCATAGCAGGCAAAACATAGCAGGACGCAACACCATACAGAGAGCCAGAGTCTCACACCCACTAAGACAACAGACGCACAGGATTTTCAGGAAGTCACTGCTGCAGATGGTTCTGCTTCCAACATCTAAAGCAAATATTCTTTTACATTCCCACTCTTAAAAAAAAATGATAGGCAGATAAAACACCACAGATATTCCCATACACATTCCAACATCCTTTAATAAAGCACTTTAAGCTTTTATTTATTTATAAGCTTTTATTTTATTTATAAAGCGATTATTTTCTTTCTTAAGAGCTAGCCTTACACTTTTCTCAGTATCCACATTCAATGCATCAAAATGCAGTAAACTCCTTAAGGAGAAAAATTTCTAGCACATCTTTATATCATATGCATAGTTAAAAATATTTTCCTCCTTGTGCTGCAAGCTACAGTGATTTACAATGTAAAGCATGAATAAATTGGTTGTCTTGATTGCATATAAATGCAGATGAAGCAATAGACTTGTTTAATTTACATGCATTGTATAAGTAAGCCAGTGACTTTTGCCTAGACAAGCATGAATTTCACATTGCAGAGGAACTTAAGAAATGATCACAAAACATCCAAATGTTAATTACGGCAAAAAGTAACCAAAAAAAAAAAAGATTTTGAGCTAGACTAGTCAAGCACACGAGAGAGGCACTACAATTCAAACCTTCCCATTACACAGCGAGCCTTGCAGTATCAAATCTTAATTAAGAGACACTGAAAGTGGCCATTTCCAAGAGGTTGATATTTAGGCAATACCTGAAACTGCTAAAACCTAAGAGACATAAACATATTGAATGAAAAAAAATTACTTAGTAACATTCAGCATGAGGAAAGTTATAAATCTTGTTATTTCTCAAGATTACACATGTAGTATTGCAGTATTATACACTCTATAATGAAATGGGCAACGTGCTATGTACCAAGTAAATGCTCTTCCTTTTGTATATTTTTCTGGAAAAGGCCTGGGAATATCCTTCTCACTCTTCTCCCCTCCCACGGCTGCCCTTGGTAAAGGGACTAAAACTGCAGCCTCCATATCTAGAAGTTAAAGCAAAGACAGTTCTTGCCATGTTACCAGGAAATTCAAAGGATTTCATTATGGTGGTTTATGCACAGCATGTTATCAGTCTGCAATATAAAGTTCATGTGAAGCTTTTACATTTTGTAGAGATTTCAAAGAAATCAAGTATAGAAAGTCTCATTAAAAGGTTAGTATGCCACAAATCAAAAAATTATATTCTTTCTTGTATGCAAAACTAACAGTTTTGATTCTACTGCATTAAACATTAGAAATTGTACGTGATATACAGCATTAAAAAAAAAAAAAAAAAAGGCTTCAGATTGAATACTATCCTATTGACAGGTACAAAAAGCTACCAAGAAACCACACCACCCTGCATTGCTTATGTTCTCATTTTACGAGCTAATGCTAATGCCATAGTTAAGGAGTTAATAGTTACTAGGATTTGAACTTCCACATAAAATCAAGCACACACCTACATGAGTTGCTTTATGTACAAATTGCCACATTTACATAGAAAACACAAAGTGCATCTAAATGAGCGCTTATGCAAATCAAACGTAATTTTTTTTTCTTTTTTAAGCCTACCACCCTCAGTCCTCTGCCTAGTTACTTCCAGGCAAGAACAGCCTCCCAGCTTCACTGACTGCAAGGCACTCACATCTACACAGAGGTTTCAGGCACAAACGTGGACAGGAATCCACAGGTGCTGAACTGCAATAGCAACAAGGGGCCTGGCCCCCTCTGCCCTGCCTGCCCTCTGCTCCAAGAGGCAACTTTTCCCTAGATCCCAGATAAATACAGGAAACTGGGCACGGAAAGGAGGGAATAAATGCACAAGTCTATCACTACTTAGCTTAGCTACACAGTATCCATACTGTCAATTGCCTTTCTGCCAATCTCATTTATCACTTAAGTAAGAGTTTTGTAGACCACACTGGTTAAATATTTTGGAGCAACAAAAAGACCATTTAATTCCTTAAAAGGGCTCTGACCTCAGCTTTAAAAGCTGCTTGCTGAGGTGTTTTTTCTGAAGTCTATTTTCCTTGAGGAGAAAGGGTGATATATACCATCAGGAACATATATTATAATAAGACAATGCCAAATACTTAACTAATTTTTTAAAAGTAACACTTGTTAAAATTGTATGTTGCTTACAGTTTTTCCTAGATAAACACTACAAATCTCAGAGTGAGCATTTTACCGATAGCACCACCCAGGTAAAAAAACTAAATGAAAAACTAACCGAGCTCATCACAAGTCCCCTAAAAGATAACTCCAAGAGAAACAACGCCCAGAGCGGCCAGATTGCTCACAGGGAAGAGGCTGACCAAACACGGCTGCTGCGAGGCCAGCAGGTCAGCAGGCTGCTGGAGCTGAGGGCCTCCCATCGAGGAGGAACCAATTGCAGCTCCAATTCAGTTACTCAAACCTCACACACATTCACAAGTCACTTCACTACAAATGGAGTTACTCTGCCTTCAAATCCTGCTGCTGCTCATGTGTGTGGCAGGTCCTACACCTGGCCTCCCAACATTCAAACACCTGGATGGTTTGAGAAAGAAAAGATCCCTCAAGTGACCAGACTTGGCTGACCTGCAAAGGAGGAGCCAGAACAGGCAGGATAAGGACAAGCCCGTCACTGCACACGCCGGCGCGGGGGCCAGGGGCAGCGTCCCGGGGCCGCAGGAGCCAGCCACGCAGCTCGGCCGGCCACATGCACTCGGCCATCCCCAGCGCCAGAGCAAGGGGCGCAGCGGCAGCGATCCCACATCCTGGACAAGGGAGAACCAAGGGGCGCAACCGTAAGGCTCCAAGGCCGTAGTCACCGCTGAAGCGCACACATGGGAGCTAACAGGAGAAGCACAAATGCACAGCCAGGCGGCTCGCAAGCGGGGTGGCTCCAGCGCGTTTGCCATCCCCACGAGCCCTACCACACCTCCACCCAGGTCTGAATGCCAGGGCCTGAGCACAGGCTACTGGTGATGTTTTATGGTTAGTAGCCACGTATGTTTAGTAGCCATGTATGGACATTTTATGGTTAGCAGCCATGTAAAGGGAGAAGCAAGAAAGAATATAAGGGAATTGTGACAGAAGGTGAACATGATTTCCTCTGAGAAGAAGCGTTAAAGAAAAAGGTATGTAAATATTGCTGAAACAATTTCTAAATCATAGGTTTTGGTAAAAGGCTTTCCTAAGAACAGTCACAATCAATCCACAGTGCTAAAAAAATGCACTATTTGTCTGTGCAACCCAATAGCCATAATAAAAAAATACCATAGCAAGAGGGTATTTCTTATATAGCAGTTATATATATATGCAAAATCTGACATAAAAGATGCACCATATTACATACCCATTGTAATCTTGCCTTCTTGGTATGACTTTCACATTTCAGCTACGATGTGAGCTTTATCACAAGGTGCCAGCACATCCTTAATAACAAGGTCCAGGATTGAGGAGGAAGCTCGCACAGGAATCGGCACACACGGCACAACAAAGAAGCCGCCGGTGA